CAAGTTTTTTACATCTAAAGAAAAAAAACTTCAAAAGAAATCTTATCATTCATACCATTTTTACCTTTATTCCATTTTTGTTAATGTTGATGCTTGTGCTTTAGTATATTTTCAAATTTGCTTGTAAACTCATCGCTTTCAACATATACTTAGCTATTTTTCTCCATGTCTTCTTATTTTAGCACTATCGTTTCACCTACATCTCAAAGTCATTGACCCAAGGTTTGCTCGTAGGTAATAAGTGAGCTAATGAAATTATGAATTGAATATTCATTTAATTTTTTTGATTCACAAATAATAATGACTTTAGCATCAAAGTATTAAGTAGAAAACATAAAATTATATTGACCTTTTCAAAGTTTGAAAATTGTTTACCTTAAGCATGTAATGATATCACAATTTGAGTAAACCAAGTATACATTTCTAAGATCATCTCATAAGGTTTCACGCAAAACATTTTATAATCATGCATTATAATATGCAACTGAATGGTTTGACATCACTAGTACCTTTGTATGTAGTGTGTAATTTGTCCCAAATTTTCTTGCCAACAGTGCATGTGGATATTAACATATAATCTTTAGAATTTAAAGTACAAATAAAGTAATTTAATGATTTAGCATTCAATTAAAAATTGATTTGTTCTACTCTACTTCATTAAGAAAAAAGAATATCATTTTTTACTCCATCTATAGCACATGACAATATAAAATAACCAGTTTGAATCATATGCAACATTCGATAATCAATTTATTGTAGAAAAGTGAACATGTGAGTTTTCCACAAATTAAATAAAATATTATCAAAAAGAGATGGTCTTATGATTGAATAACTTTATATGATGTTTTTATTTCTAAAGTTATCTATAAATAAAAATTCAAAAGTTTTCAAAAACATGGTTTTATGAATCCTACTCAGATACCACTTGAAAGTTCATTAGGGGTGTTAAACCCAAAAGAACTAGTCTCGAGGTTAACTAAAAGGCAGTGAATAAGATATTAAAAAACTTTATTTCAACAAAAAGTAAAATTCCCTTCTTAAAGCTTTTCAACATTAAAAAATAAATAATCAATACACCATAATATAAATCATAAATTTTTAACCAAGCAGTTATATATAAAAAAAATGCAGAAAATAAAGTCTTGAAAAAATAAAATTAAAAAGAACACCTAAGATTTTATATAGGTTCGGTCAACCTGACCTACGTCCACTCTTCAGAGGCACCCTCCTAATAATGCACTAAAATTATAGTGACTCTCATTTTTCCCCCACAACATGGTAGAGAAGCCTTTAGAAAATATTTCCACAAACAGGACGTAGCAGAGTAGCTAAGTCCTTTGACACCAAAGAGATCTTCTTCTTCTCAAAACTTCCCTCAAGACGAACCTTGAATCCAATGATACTAACATTCAAGCTTGTCAGAGCCACCATGTGAAACCCTCTCTACAATCTCTTAAAACCCCCTCCAAGGATCTTCTCCCTCTCTCAAACTCTACTCTTTCCTTTCTCCCTTTCAAGTTCACTCTTCAAGTTTTATCCAAAGAAATGAAGCTTCAATGGCTGCCAAAGATACTTACCAAGTGCATTGATAAAGCTTGAATATAGGGCTTTGAAAAAAACCATAAAAATAAATTCTAACAGCAAAGATCCTCCAGGAAAATCTTGTATGATCAATACAAAAATAGCCCACTAATTAGAATGCCTAGCATAATCTTGTACGATCATTTCAATAATTTATATAAATTGCCTAGGATAGTCCTGTGACTATTCAGGATGATTAGTTTAAGATTGGTGGCAATCAATATATCCTCCTGAGATAGTCTCGGGATGTCCAGGATGATAAGTTATACAATAAGAAGAAATATGGTTTATATCTTGGATGATTTAGGAAATTAAATATGTGGGCAAACATCATCTAGTATGATATACAGATCATCTAGGATGATCTGATTGAATATTTTAACCGTAATTAGTCCTCTAATCACATGATAAATTTAGGCATGATTGATATTAATTATTCAGGATGATTTAGTTTATCCAGGATGATTAGAATAAAATTTGAATCTTAAATCCTTACCTAAATTATCATTGGTGACTATTTTCCAATATCATAAAGGATCATCCTAGATGATTAAAATTGTCTAGTACGATTAGTTCAATGACCTGATCAACTTAGATGATTGAAATTGTCATGATTAGTTTAAAACATGAACTTTTTGTTTTGACTAGATCTCACTCCCCTGAGTGTGTCTGTATGGACACCAAGCTAGCAAACATGATTGCATGACTTGAATTACGAAATCAAAATTATATCAATGAATATTACAGACTCTTTACATCATAAACTTATTCTACCCAATCTTGAGGTCTGATTCTTCATTGGATGGTGCATGGTGTTCCTAAAAAATTAGTATACATACAAATAAATTTAGAAAGCAAAATATTAAGAGACAAAGATGTTTGTTATCATCAAAAATATAAACTCGTCAGCTTGAGTTGCAACAGAAAATAGTGAACATGGAACTACTAAGCATACCATTTTGATGTTGTGGCACACCCAAATAGATAAGTCTAAGCCACCACGTCAATATTCTTGAGCTCTAGTGATGTCCTTAATGGTGCTGCGATGTTGATTTTTCTAACACCATGGTGTTGGATGATACTTAGAATTTTGAGCCATTTTTGTACATTTCCTAAACAACACAACTAAAAGAATATATTTTTACTAAAAATAACACATAAAATAATACATTAATTAGACTTATCAAATTTTTCCTAGCTTTAACTCTTGTTTTTAACTCTTATTTATCCTCAAGAAAATTTTTGTTGCAATTCTAATTAAATGATTAACTAAAGTAAAACCTGATAATTTTAAATAACTAAAATATAGGAAAACACATCATGGCCTAGAAGTTATAAAAATGAATAAGGATATAATTCTAGTTTGAAAAAATATTAATAATTACAGTTATTAGACATCCTTATTATTGCTAAATTTTATTTATAGTTTATAAATTTATTTATTAACTTTTAATATTTAAAGTGAATAATGTTGATTAATTATTAGATATGCTAGTAGTAAATTTGAAACTTTATTAGTTCACCATCATTTGTACTATTTTTTTTTATCCTTTATAAATTTAAGTATAAGATTATAATCGGATTCTAAGTTTGTAACTAATACCAATTTTTGGATGTACTCATCATTTCTTTTTCTTCTATTTCTTTTCTTTTCTTTTTCTTTTGGATTTATTTTCACAATTCTTTTCTTTTAATTTTATGGAGTTCATAATTAATGATTTTAAATGTCATTGTTTCATACCCTTTTAAAATCTTAATGAATTTTATGCAAGGATTTAATAAGATTATTAATTCCAAATTTAGGTTGCTTATGATTTTTAAATTTAACCTACTTATATCTAATCTTTAATTCTAATCATTTATCATTAGTTCAAAAACTATTGCATATGGGTTTCACTTATAATTTTAAATTAAAAGATTAACTTAAATGATCTATGTTAGTTAATTGTTAGTTTTTTTTTCACTCTAATAGGATTTTATTATTAGCCAAATTTTTCTTTATTTATTAATTATAATTTTTACCATTGTTAATTAAATAATCAAATATATTAATTAATTTAAATGATAGTAAACATGAGGGGAATTTTAGTAAAATGTAAATAAAAATATATTCAACAGTTAACACTACAAATACTTTCATATGAATAATAAAGGTGCATAAAACATATGATAACATAACATAAACATAAGACAAGTTACCGAAAAACTAGTGCACTAGGCACCATATATATCATCAAGAGTGGGTTACCTCTCGTAAGTGCTAAGTTTTAAGTAGTCACCCTAATTCAACATCAAAACATAGTATCCCTTTCTAATTCAGAATAAAAATAACATGCTACCCAACCAAAGTAGCCTCCAAGCTCTCTCTCTCTCTCTCTAAAGAAAAAGAAAATTCAACCCCTAATTGTCTGAATCTCAATACCTACTTTCCTTTGAGGCACCTTTCAAACTTTTTTGTGTAATCAAAATGTTTTTCTGGATGTGAAAAGTATGATCATCAAATACCCAACGTCGATGACCTAGATATGCAAATTTTTGTCCCTTATATAACCATATAGATTCTTTTTCTTATGCACAATAAGGACAAGCATATCTCCCTTTAGTTATTGAACTAGATATCATGTTGTAAGCATGAAAATCATTTCCAATCCACATTAATGTAGCACGCATATTAAAAATGGTTTAGTTTCGACGTCATATCATTCAGCTCCATAACATAATTTAAGTAACTCTTGAAATAGTGGTTGAAGATATATCTCAATATAATTTCTTGGACTTTTCTCTCAAGGCATAATAGTTAATAGAATGAAATAATTTTGATTCATTCCCATCCAAAGTGGCAAGTTATACAGAACTAGAAGCATAGGTCAAATTCTGTATGTACTTTTCATAATCTTAAGAGGGTTAAAACCATTGATAAAAATAGCAAGTCGAACATTATGTGGATTAATTACAAAATAAGGGTATCGCATGTCAAAAGATTTTCATGCTTCTCCAACAGCAGGATGACATAGTACGCCATATTTATTTTTGTGTGTTGCATGTCAAATCATCTCCTCAATAGATTTCTTTATTTTAAAGCCTTTGAAGTCTAGGAATTAATGGAAAATACCAAATAATTTTAGTTGACTTCATATGATTTTTCTCACCAACAATACTTCTCTTCTTTGAATTTAACGATATTGATGCTCTACGAATGTCACAAACATCTTGATTAGATTTCCCTTACCAATATAACATACAATTATTATGGCATGCATCAATCTTTGTTATCCAAGATCAAATGCTTTCATTATCACTTCATATGTATTATTAGGCGACAACACTCCTTTTGGAAAGCATCAATCAATAACTCTATTAATATGATGAAAGATCTTGAAGTCCATGAATGTAAAAACTTTATACGGAATAAACGCATGATGAATGATGATTTTGAGAATGCCTTACATCCAATGTACAACTTTGCTTCATCATCCTATGTTAATTTTTAAGAATTTTTACTATTATCATTTTGTTGATTTGCATTCACCTCAATCTGCTAATCCAGTATGTGTGGACAAAAAGTGTATCTTAATAATCCTTCTATATCATTTGTATTTAAATGCTCATAATGAAGTATTTCAATATATGAATTGAATAAAACAAGAAATATCTCATTTATTGCAACGTCGCCTACATTGTAATATTGTTCCCCATGTTGATTCCATAAAACATATCCGACAAAAAAAATCCTTTACAAATTAAATGACCTTTGGCATCCTTAAGTGAATAGAAATATCTATTAATGCATGATTGGCATTGACTCTAGATGAATTTTTACTTGGACTTGCAAAGTCAAGAAACTTATTAACACCAGAAATGTAATTAGAACTCCATTTAGCTTTTGTAATGCAGCTCTTGTCCATATTTAAGGGAAAATTTACTTTGTAATTACTTGTTAAAATAAAGAGTTTTTAGGCATATGAATCGAGTACAATTTCTTTCAAACAAAGATGTAGAATAAATTAATTAGAATTCGTAATTAGCACAAATACATGCCACGTTAAGGTGTATTTTTAAACTTCTAGCTTGGAAAACTTATGCACAAATTTTTTTTTTTTTTTTGTGAAGAATGCATAGAGAAAATATTATAAAGAAAGAAAGGGAAAAAAATCCCAACTAAGTACAAGCTAAAGATTCCTCCTCCAAAATACTAACAAACGAAGGAGGAATCTTGTCAAGTAAAATGTTATCCCAAAAAAAAACTAGAAAAGGTACCATAGTTAGCACAAATGTTAGCTAACTTATTACAATCCCTTTTCACACAATAGAAAATAACAAAATTAAAACTATCAATTATAGACAATTTAATCATACCTTTGGCTTCTTTCTTTTTATGAATGAGATTGATAATATTGATATTATCACTTTCAATTATGATACCTTTATAACCATGCATCCAATCTTTGAGTATATCTTTACCATAAGTTATAGCTAGAAGCTCCAAATGAGTGATGTCCCAATGAATTTCAGGCTTCCCAAATGCTGCTATAAGTCTTCCTTTAAAGTCTCTTATTACACCACCAATTCCTCCTTTATAAGAAGGAAACAAAGTTGCATCAACATTCAACTTGATCCATTCGGGTTGGAGGAGGGCACCAACGATCTAAAGGATTGGCTTGAACTTATGCACAAACTTACTTTTTTTATTTAATATGCTCAAGAGAAATTCATACATTTGTGGGGGTATGTTATGTATATCAGTGCATAAACTTGTTATTTTTTTATAAAATACGATACAATAGTTTTCTGGTATATACTAGTGTCACATTTTGACTCTTAGATTTTTTTCTAGCATTATTTACAAATTTCCATCTTTGAGCTTAGAGTTTATTAAGTTCAAGAATAACAAGATATAGATAAATTACTAGATATTAATAAAACAAAAGAATATAATTTTTTACTTATAAATAGAAAAAAAGTAATTTATCTAAACATTTTGATTAAATGGATAGTTTACATTCATCATAAATTATGCCAATCTAATTCTTTTTTCCGTACAAATCAAGAGTAAGGGAGAAAATATAACTACATTTATGAATATATCCCACTCATATTTATCTTCATGCCATGCATGCGTGAAGACTAAATCTAATTAATCAAATGGAAGCACTAGCATATATATTCCTTAGATATTTTTCAGAACAAAAGTCATATTTAAAAAATAGTAACAAACCACTGCTCCTCTCTAAATTAACTCATCTTGTTCAGCCTCACTCTTTCTCATTTCATGCCTCTCTACCCCCACTTCACTCTTTCTGAATGGCCAACTAAGAACAAATCTTGACCAATAAAATAATCAAAATTACCCTTTTGTGTTGGCTTGAGAAAAGGATTTTGCACTTGAGAAAACTATTGAATCTCTAAATGAACATATATAACTAATCAATTGGTAAAATCATCTATTCTTTGATTGATAAATTAGGAGATGGATTAATTTCTGGCAAACTTATCAAACTGGATCGGAGCGGAGCTAGGGCAAGGGATGAACTCCGTGAGCTCAGATGCAGCGGTTGCGGTGGATTGACTTGGCGTCGGGCTGAGCGGTTGTACTCATGGATGCTCATCAAAAAATACCTCAGGCAGAAGACTCACCAATCATCAAATGGATCAGATTTTGGGCAGAAGAAGATCATTGCATGCGCGACCGAAGTGAGGGCAGGGGACATACTCGGCTTTCTTGGGGATTTTTGTTATTACTTTGATTTCTAAACCACTTAAAATTGGTGCCTAAAAAACTCTTCTGAAGTGGTTTAGAAATTGTTGCTATAAATCGCTACCTTAAACCCCCCTTTTTTTTATGTATTCTTACAAAAGGGGCAAGTCATGTTAATCTAAGTAGTCTCATGTGAAATCATGATGATTCCCCTTAGGCAAGTCTTTATTCTCAAGGCCTATGGGGTTCACCTCCCATATTGTTTCTAGCAAATACCTTTTAAATTCTGGGAAATATATACAAATACACATAAACCACATAATAAAATTCTAATGTATAAATTTTCTTTTATTTTTAGTAATTTAATTGATGGTCACTTAAATTTATGAGTTTATTACCTTAAAAATATTTCATTGGTACAAGATGGGCCTTAAGCTTGTTTTTCTTTTAAAATATAAAATAATTCACTAAATTAGAAATTAACAATTAACGAATCTGCCACTCACTTTATAAACTTCTCATGGCGTCTATAAATATGTCTAAACTGCGGCTTCTGTCATCGCGCGCTCCTCTCTCTCTCTCTCTCTCTCTCTCTCTCACACTCTCTTCGTTTGAAGAAAGCCGGCATTTGATAACGGGTAAGATCTTATAAGAGTCCAATACAAACCAGCGTCCTACATTACATCCTTCATCTTTTTCGGCAAACGTTCTTTTCCAGAATGGTTCTTTCGTTATCGGCATTTAATATTCTGCACTGTTTTCTTGGATTGATTAGTTCGTATCGTTGTTTACAGCTATTCAATTGAAATCTCGGATTTTTTTGGTAATAAGGGGATTTCGCCGTATATAATGTTCGAGATTAGCCTTTAATTGAATGAAAATTGATATGTAAGACTATTCATCAAGCATATCTCACTTCTAACTTCTAACTTCTGTGGAGGCGATAACCACTGATTAGCTAAAGCTTCGCGGATCGCTTGGGATGTATGAGATTAGCTCCAAGTTATTCGACTAAATTTTATACCGATACAAGTCCAGTTATAGGCTGGTTGATCAAATATTTCACAATTTTAAGTTTTGCTGAGATTGTGGGAAAGAGTCAGTAAAAATGAAACATAAACAAGAGAGATAGTACGCTTGGCTTAGAGATTTTATTTATATTGATTCCTTCGTGGAATAATTTACTATCTGATCATTGAAATATGCCTTTTTCTTTTACTCTTACTTTTCCCTTTGACCATTAGGTGGTTTTACCATGGTCTACTCAGCCATGATCAAGTGATTTGGTTAAGGCTAGCCTCGGTTGAATCTAGTATTTCGAGCCAATCTTTTATATTCTATTAGCTAGATCTTGTCCTTTTTGATACTCTATAAATTCTTTGGTCTACTCTGAAATTCATGGACCGGTTCTTCACAATTTTGTCAATGCTGTTTTTTTCCTCATTGCTCAATATCCAAACTTTTTTTTATGGTTATTGACCTATGATGCATAGAAATAGACACGACAACATAGACACTACAATTATTAAAGTCATAGCACATGGATATGGGTTTGAACAACAGTACTATAATTTTTTATTTTTGCTTCCATCAAGCATCAAGGTCATGACAAGATTAGACTTCCAATACATGTCAGAGGCATGTCGAACACATGTTATGTAAGATAGGTGTTGGACATTGCATAACTTTTTGAGAATTGTCGGTGTATAATAGTTTTTGACATTTCTCATTGGTTGATTTTGGATTGTGGAGATAAATATTGTTAAATCAAACTAAGGAGAACACAAATAACTTAAAAAATTAGGGGTTTATCATAACAAAAAATTTTATTTTTTTAATCATAACGAAACTTATTGTTTTATTAAATCTAAGAAAAAAGTTATTAATGATTTTTTAATAAAAATTATTTAGAAAAAATCACGTTATTAAAGTTTCTTGGTCAAGCTGAAAAATTTCAGTTTCATTTCACTTTTGACAGGGGGAACTTGAGATTATTGATTAATTGTATTTTGTTAATGAAATGGTTAGTCAAAAAGCTCGCATGATCAAGAATGTAGTTATCGATCTTCTTGAATTTGCTGCACATGTTCTATACATTGTGGTTATAATCCCTTCCTGATTGTAATGATCATGTCAAAGTAGTCAGTTGATTTGTTTTTCATCTTTATCCCATTTACCTTAACTAATTGTTAGAAGGTCCTTTTTGTAGCCTAATAGTTTTGTTAAGGAAATTTACCTTCTCGATTACCTTGGCTTGCTTTATTTCTTTTGCAATTCATGGCTTTTATTCTATTATGAAAGGGCTTTTTATGTTTTAGTTTAAGGTTTATATAAATTTCAACGAGGTTTTTTATTATTAGTAAGGGCTCTTTAATTGCCATTTCAAAAAATGATAAGTTATCAGATTCCATTATTGAGTGGATTGAACTAAAATTAATATGAATTTTAAACTCAGCAAATCATTCAAAATTCTTTGTAAGTGAGAATTATTATTTTGAAAAATGATGAGTTTTTTAGATTCCATTATTTGAGTGGATACAATTAAAACTAATATGGAGTTTAAACTCCACAAACCCTTTTAAAATTTCTCATAAGCGTGGTTCTTAATTTCACACTCAAACTGAGCGAAAGCAAGATCATCACTTTCTAAATTCTATTTTTCTTGTACAACCAACCAGGTGAGTCCTCGGATGAATTCAATTTACAATATTCCGGACAAATATAAGAAGCTATAATTTGTTCTTAGAGATAAACAGTTTAATTGATAGACATGACCTACTTGAGATATAAAGTTTTTTTAAAACCTCATAATTTTATTAGAATGGAACAAATTTTATATTTTACACTCAAACTGCTTTTTGAAATTTCTTTTCTACTAACATAGCTCGTTATAATTCATTACTATACTAACACCTGGTTATAGCTTCTTTGAGGTGTGAAAGTAGCACAATCATGACTGCTTCAACTGCTTTCTCAACCATCTTCTCAATTCTATCATCCTCTCACCCAATTTCTTCTCTTGGACTGGTTCATTTGATGTTTCATTTGCTTTTACCAGTGGAGTGAAAGCTAAATTTCCAAGTTCTCTTAAGGCTTTTCAAATCAAAGGATATGTCAAAAAGGCCAATACTGTTACTTTTAGCTTTAAGAGTGAGTTAGCAAATGTTGAGGAGGATGTACCTTCTGAATCACGAAAGGATGTTCACAACTTCCTTTATTGGAGGTGGCTCCTTGCGACTCTAATGAAAATAAAAGTAGCAATAGAGAAACAAAGAAACGTTCTGAATTGGAAGCCTAGGAGGCCTGACCTGTTCGATGATTCATTTAGTCATGAACAGATAATTGATAATATTTACATGCAGAGAAACTCTATCAAAATATATGAGATTGATGCTACTGGAAAAGCATCCCTTGAGACAATAATGAACCTTTTACAGGTCCAAAATTCCTACAGCCTAAAATTTTCATTAATTAATTATAGTATCTTCGAGTTCTGACTCAACTTTGCCCTAACAGGAAACAAATGTCAACCATTTCAAATTTCTTGGGTTTTTGGATGATTATGTTCGTTCATACCCAAAGATACGTGGCGGAAATCTTATATTTGTCATACTAAAAATGCATGTTCAAGTGGAACATTATCCTTCATGGTAAGTCCTTTCTATAATTTTTATGATTCTTATACTTTTGTAATTTATTTTAAAGCTATTTTATTTGACAGTTCATCCGTTTTGACAAGAAAAATTTATTTCTAATTTTCCTATTGAAACAAACCAAGGCATTAGAATTTTGAATGCTCCTTAGAAATTGTCTTTTTTTTTTTCAGGATTGAAATTCACCATGTATGCTTTCATGTCTCTAAGATCCTATTCTGTATGTTTCTTTCTAAAGGATATGGTGTTGCTTTGTGATAGATAACTTAACACATTAAAGTTGCTTCATTGAAAAATTTATTATTATTAATAATATTATAATTTTTTTTAATGCAGGGGTGATGCTCTTGAAGTTAATACATGGTTAAGACATCATAACAAATTGAGTATGGCTCGTGATTGGCATCTACGCAATCACAAAACAGGTCAAAGTATGATTCGAGCTACGAGGTTAGCCGTTCACATGTGTCAGAACTTTCCACTACATGCCAAATGAAATATATCATTTTTTAAAGTGATTATGCTAATTCTGATTTCTTCAGTATTTGGGCACTGATGGATAAAACAACACGTAAACTTTCAAAGATACCTAATGAAAAAAAAGTAGAAATAGAGCCCCACTGTAATGATACTACTTTTATTTTGAATGAGGACAATAGAAAGTTCCCTAAAGTTAATGTTGAGACTGCAGATTACATCATAGATGGCTTAACTGTAAGTTGTAGATTGGCTAAAATATTTTTGGTGTTAATTTCTTATTTAGTTATATCTTTTCTCTCTTAACATTCTTTCTCTATATTGTTTTATAATATTCAATTTGTTTGACAGCCTGATTGGGCCGATTTAGATGTTAATAGGCATGTGAGCAATGTCAAGTACATTCAGTGGATTTTTAAGGTAAAATAAATGATTAGCTTTGTTAAAATTTGTTAACATTTTACCTCTCTTCTTTCTATTTTAAGAAAAATAAATAAATAAATAAACGGCATGAAGAGTGATAATATGTAAGCAAATATTGAATTAATTTATCTCCTATTAAGGCTTTTCTTTAGTTGTTATTTTGTTAGCGTTTTGCTTGTGTCAATCTATTGTTATGATTATCTTCCTAATAGGCATCATAATTACAGAAATTTCACATCATATCTTGTCATTTCAGCAAATATGCATTATGCTTTCTAGTCTTAATTTTGGCTTTATGAATTCTTATTAAATATTCATTTTTATTCTAAGTGGCCACATTAGCTCTTATTTTTTATGCTTAACAATTATTTTTGCACAACATAGTTATTTATTACTAATTTCTTGAATATATAAGTGGTGTAATAGAACTACCTTTGCACATTTGTAGTTCATGCCACAGCTTGCTCACATATGCAGCTGTCGGTGCAACATTGCTCATTTGAATTGGTTAACAAGAAAATGGAAGGCCTTACTCTTTTCTTTCAACTTGGATTTGGCAGGGCATTCCAATCTCTATCTGGGAGACTCATGCGATGTCCAGCATGGTCCTTAAGTTTAGGAAGGAGTGTAAGATGGGCGATGTATTGCAATCCCTCACTGCTGTCTCCTATGTAAGCTCCAATTCCTCATCTGAATTTAAGATTGAGTGTAGGCATCTGCTCCAGCTTAAAAGTGGACCTCCACTTGTGCAAGGACTAACTACTTGGATACAGAAGGTTTGAAAACTAGATGATTTCTTTAGCAATATCCCTAACACCAAGCACCTGAAAGATAAATGCAATTTTCATAATAAAATAAAGACAGATAAGTTCTTGTCCCTACTTAAAAGCTCAACGATGGCCTTCGCCTCGGCCTCTAGCAAATAATTACAATAAATTGGAGGTTTGGTGTTCTTGTGGTATCCTTGTCTACAGTGCTTCAATTAATATATTACCAGTTAGTAGTTGTTGGTTATATTGAGAAATCATAAGCTTTATGTTCCCATATAAATCTTTCGGTCAAATCTGGCTCTTATGTTTGAGAAAAAACTTGGTTTACATATGATTTAAATGTATTAAACTGTGGGCTCCAAAAATTCTGCCCCAGCCTCTGCTCGCTTTCCTTTTTCTTTTCGGAGGAGTTTTAATTGATTTAAGTTCCGAGGTAAATTTTAGGAAGGAAGATGGTTTGTAGATAAGACCCTACCCAGAGATTTTGCCCTCATTTTGTGAGGACTTTATAATATGAGTTCTGGTTTCCTATAGATGCAAGCCCCTATAGTTAATTACCCCTCTCGATAACCAGAGAGAACTTTCAATTAAGGCTAGTCGTCAATAAGATACATTATATCCATAGATATGTAGTATCAGGCATATAGAAGCAACATTGATTAAAGTTGTTTGATGAGTTTAGAGATTTGATATTTAAAATTAGGAATTTCCACCATCTTACACTTAAAGTGGATGATGGGGGAATGGATGATAGACCCGATCAAGAGCTCATGATTCCGTCATCCCGGGCCATCGTGGCCCCTAGTTTACTTAGTCTGAGGAGGTAGTCGACCCAATCTGACAGAAGGATCCTTATCGACAGCCATGGGTTGCTTCGTCCAAGGGGACCTGTAGACCTGAGATGAATGTTTGTCTAAGGGGACAAATTTAAATCCACCTTAGCTTATAGAGGGATTTGTGCCCTATCGAACATATCTTATTGATTCAAATCTCAAGGATTTGATGCCACTAAGGAGCGTATTGGATCTGGCCATAACTGGTATTTTGTGGTGCCATTTAGCGGCAAAACCACTCGGTTTAGAGGGCCCCTGGTCATAAACGTTTATCCTGCGGTGCCATTTGGCGGTTAAACTGCCAGTTAGAAGACATGTACCATGTCCTTACTGGCAGGAGATCGTTTGAGAATGGATCTTAAGAATATTTTCGACCAAACATTTAACTCGATGCAAGTTGAAGTAAATTTTAATTTGTCCACCCCTACAAACTATTGCAGAGAGTGGATAGACTTTGCTTTAAGTGGTTGGATGGATTATTTTAATTTTAAATAACTTGGATTTTGGGATTTTTATGTAGCTTTGAGATTTCATGGGTGTTTGGGAAATCATTTATTTGTAAACCCCTTCAATTGAGATAGATATTTAACATGGTCATCACCAGGGTGTTTTGGGTCATTTCTATTTATGGATTGAACCTTGTCGACTCCGTCAAGTTATCGATAGAGGATTAAATTCCATAGGCTTTATGTATTTATTAGTGAATTCTCTTGATTATAGGACTTGAAGGCCTAATATGAATGTTTTAAAATAAATATATAAATCCCCACAACCGTATATTTTGCCCGATGATTTGAACCCTGTCGACTCCTATTGACCCGTATATGAGGATCGGATTTCATAGGCTTTATCCTTTTATTTGTGAATTCTCTTCATTATATGCCTTGAAAGCCTAATATGAATGTATTAAAATAAATCACTACATATTCTTTTGAATATTAAAACTTGTTCCCTGCTGTCCAAAAATCAAGTCCTCCATTATTCAAGTCATGATCAAATTAGATTCAAGTTATAACATATTCTTCTGTACTTTTAATTTAGGTTCAAATTGAATTAAATTTCTTTGCATTTCCTTGAATACGAGTCCGAGTCAGAGTTCAAGTTGTCCAAATTCAAGTCCTTTGCACTGTTCAAGTTCAAATCGAAGCTCTTTGCACCAAGTTCATTTGAGTTCAAGTCTTGTGAGAGTCCCCAGTGATTCAACTCAAGTCTTTGCTTGGTTTTAAATGTTCAATTTATGTCCTTGTTCATTTTGCAAGTTCAAGTCTTTTGTTATTTAAGTTATGTTCAAATTTAAGATCAAGTACAAGCCCCATTTTTTTCATGTCCTTGTGCGCTTCAGATGAAATTTCGGCAGCGTCCCGATGTCTCCCCGTTTAGGAGAAAAACCAAGAGGCAATCTTCACCTCCACGTTACACGAGCGCTTCAGGTAGATGTCGGTTGACATTGGGCGTAAGATATGAGCAGGTATGTGTGTTCGTTTTAAAAATCATTTTTTTTTTGCTGCATAGGTCAACATAAACTCTATAATTTATATATTATAATATATTGGTTTCAGCATGAAACTATTTATTATAATGTTATTGATGAGATTTTGTGTTTACTTTTTTAAGAGGTGGATGAATTTATCTTTTTTTAAAAAATTACAGTTAATAAAAACAATTTCAAAATTGAAGGCATGAAACTAAATGGAATAAATGTGTAAAAAAATACAAACACACAAAGGTTTTTTACTTAATTCAACCTCAACTAGCCAACATCCTTGCCTATTTCTCTCCCAGAATAGAATTTTTGTACCTCAAAATTGAAATTACTTGTCCAAATCTTTTTCACTCCTCATGACAATGGAGAAATCATAACAACCTAATACACACTCTTAATAGATGAGTGAACCTAAATTTGTGAATACAAAGAGAACTACTTTCAGGTCTTTTCCGAAACACCAAAAAAATTAAAAATAGGAAACACATTTTTCCGAAAAGAACCTAAATTTGTGATGAAGTGTTGCAGCCTTGCAAACTACTTGATTGATTCTATAAGCTCTCCCTTGATTGATTGATTCTATAAGCTCTCCCTTGATTGATTGATTGTATAAGCAATATCAGGCCAAAGGA